GAGCCGGGAGTGACGCGCTCCGCAGCGCCGGCCCCTCTCCCCGGGCAGCAGCTGGCTGTCAGCCTCTCCGGAGCGCCGCCAGCCCGGGCCCCCTCCCTCCGTCCCTCCGTCCCTCCGCCCCGCGCTCCCCGCCGCGCCGCCGGGCTGGCGCAGGCCGGCAGGCCCCGGGCTCCGCTCCAGGTAGGCGCCCGCCCGCGGGGGGCTCCGGTACCGACCCCGGGGCGGCGGGCGGGGGGGGATGCGCGGGGGCTCCACGCGGCCGCGGCGCTGCGGGGCTGGGGAGGAAGGGGGGGGGGCCACCGGCGGGCGGGGCGGGGCGGGGCGGGGCCCGGCCCCAACTCCGGGGGGAGCGGCCGCCCCGCGGCCCCGGGAAGTTGCGGGTCGCCCGCCTGGCTGCCCGGCGGCGGGGGGGGAGGGCGGCGCGTCCTTCCCCGCGCCCGGCGCGGCTCCCCCGCGCCCGGAAGAGCACAAAAGCGCCGAAGAAAGTGGGAGGAGGCGGCGGCGGGAGCGCTCCGTCCCCGGCCGTCCCCGGCCGTCCCCGGGTACCGGCCCGAGCCATCCCTGGGCACCGGCCCCGCGCCGCCATCACCACCAGCCCCGGCCCCGGGCGGGGATTGTGCTGGAAATAGCCGCCTCCCTGGAGGTAAAGCCCTACTTACGTGTCAATCCTCGCCGCACGCTGAGCCCCGCACACGCGCGGGCAGGGCTCCATCGCGGGTGGATCTATTTACCTGCGGGCGGGGGTAGGACGGGCACCGGGACTCTCGCCCGGCGCCTCGCACCTCGCTGCTGCGGGGACACACGCGTGGGAACCGCGTCCCACTGGGGTCCCGCGGCTGTTGGGGAGGGTGGGGACACGGGGACCCCCGGCCGCTCAGCCCACAGCGCTGCTCCTCTTGGCCACCGCCTCCAAAACTGGGTCCGTCCCCCCCCGACACTCGCTTCCCGGTGCTGGGGGAAGAGCAAAGTGCCCTTTCACACCGCGCGGAATCAGGCACCGTCCCCACCTCGCATGGAAAAGCAAACGCCTGTGAGCAAGTTCAGGTGCGGGGGAGGCAGGTGCGGGGCTCCAGGGTGGTGGTGGTGGGAGTCGTGCAGCCCGGTCCCCCCTGCCCCGCGTTCAGCACCTCCCCGCTGAACAGCAGGAACGGGGCAGCGGCTCCGGGAAGGGGTGCGGGGCCGCCCCCCGCTTTGGCAGCTCCCCGCGCCTCGGGGCTGTGGGAATGCTCGGGGGCTTCCCCGAGAAGAGCTCTTGGAGAAGGGGGAGGGGGAGAAGGGGATGAGCTTCCCTTCCTCTTCCATTTGCCGTTTGCCGTTAAAACGAACTGCTTTGCCCGTTTTCGGGAACTAAGAAATTACTCGGGTTTTGCCAAATCCCGTAGAAATCGGCAGAAATCGCGGTAAATAAGGACGTAAGTGACCTGACAAAGAGCGCCGGGGATGTTCTCTTTGGTGTGGGAATTGTACACACGAGTAGGCAGCGCAGTCACAGCTCACCGCCGCCACAGCTCGCGTACACCCGTGTGCTGTGAGGCTTCTCCGGTCTTTGAAGCGATGACCACCACACCGTTCGTGGCTGCAGCACCAATCTTTGACCCGGAGTGTTTTATCTTCCATTAGTAAGCCTTTCTCTGCGCTGAACTGGTTAAGTTAGGGTCAAATCTGGTTCAATACCTTCTTGGCATGCTCAGAGGGCTGGGTTTAAACAGTGGCTGAGACGGAGATGAGGCTGCCTTCCTGAGAGCTCGTCCCTGCGCGCCGCTGCCGGGGGTCACGGTGCGAGGAGCTCTGCCCTGGCCAGGTTTGGCAGGTCTGGGGGCCGTCTGTGCCGGGCAGGTCGTGCACGGCACTGGCGTGGCAGTGGAGCAGCTCTGGGGGCTGGCAGTCACGCGTTGCCTTTTGTTGATTCTAAAAACACGGCTGGTTCTGGTGGGAAGCTGAGCGTGGCTGTGTGCTGGGGAGGTTGCACGGCACACAGCCTCGGTTCCTGCTCCGCGGAAGGAAATCCCATCGGGACAGTAGGCTGTGGCGTGAAAGGACATGTTTTAAAATAAAAGGACTTAAAGAGAGAAAATAAACCGTCCTGAGACTCGGAGCTTGGAATATTAAACGTGAGGCACAGCATGTAAATGACTGGAGAGAGATTGCAAGGCAGTCCCCGAGAAACTGAGCCTGGCTGTAAAATAAGCAGGTTACCGATAGTCTTGCATATATTTACGAGGTTATAAGAGTAGCTTTCCCCCCTGCCCTGCTCCAGCCCGTGCTGTGGGAGGTTGTTCTCCAGGAAGAAGAGCTTTGGTGAAGAAACATTGTCTAGCAATTACAGCCTTGCAATCTGGAGAGCTTGATTAGGTTCCTGAATCTGCCAGCGACTCGCTGTGTTCTTGGACCAGCCAGGGTGGCTGTCAGTACCCGGGGTTTCCAGCTTTATAATACGAGGAGTAGTTTTCTAACTCGCAGCAAAGTTGGGGAAGCTCAGCGGACGCTTGCAGCCGCCACAGTGCTTGAAGCTCGTGAATGGAAAGTGGGACAGAAATGTGGAGTGTGAGCCCTGCACATGTGAGTGTCTGCCTCTGCTGGGTAGAAAATATTGGCTGTGAATGTCTGTGAAGCAGCTGTGAATGTTGGGCTGTAGATAAGGAGAGAAGCAAGGATTTTGTTTTCCAAACCCTGAGTGGTGCCGGGAGCCCTGTTCCGATGTTTGGGTGTGCCCTGTGAGTGCAGCAGCAGGATCCGACTTCCCCTTGCAGAGAGGAGCTCTGCTGGCTGACCCTTGATCGCTCAGTCCCTTGAACATTGGAAACAAAGCGATGGGACTTTACCGCGGGGTGAGGAGATCTCTCCGGAGAGCTGGGAAAGGCAGGAAGGAGGAGGGCGGTAGCAGCAGAGCTGGGGTTCAGGATTTGGCTCTGGGCTGGCTGCTTGGGGCGCCACTGGCACTTCCATCTCTGCCACGAGTGGTGTGGAACTGGGGAAAAGGCAGCAGGTCCTGAGACAGGCACTGGTAATGGATTGCATTCTGTTTTCTAATGAAAGTTTCATTTGAAGTTTGTTTACAGGAAAGAAGAAATTAGCAGAGGGAATTCTCCTGAGAACCGAGAGAGGAAAAAGAATGAGCTGCCTGACTTGCAAGCCAAAAGAGGGTGGAAGGGTAGATTAGATTTACCGTATTGCTCCGAGTTGTGGCTGTTGCTGCTGTTGAGAAATGCTTCCTTGTTTGGCTGGATGGGGAGTCCACTGTAAGGCTCAACCTTCAGCCAGGTTTCTGGCATCCAGGGAGATTCAGAGCTCCCACCTAGCCAGAAATTTTGATCCTGCTGTGGTGTACTGTGCTTTGAGGCTGGATTTGTGCTGTGCTGCTGTCCCTCTGCTCCTGGGCTGTGGCTGGGCAGCCAGTGCTCTGGATGGGGCTGCTGGGGCCTCCTGTCCCTGGGATTGTCCCTAGTATGAGGAGGCAGTGCCAGCAGTTCATGGGCAGCACTTGGAGGTCACAGTGTTCAGCCTTCAATCTCTAAGGGGTGTCCTGAGGCAGGAGTTTGCTGGTGGCCTCTGCTCTCACTACAAGCAGTGAGGAATGCAGCCAAGGGCTAGTGCAGGATGCCAGAGCTGAAGTGATGGGGATGGCCAGAGGCACACTTGAGGCTGGGGCTTTTCTCTTTCTTTAGTAAAGAGGCACAAAGGTGTGAGGAGTTCCTGGGGCACTGTGGTGTGGGCAGAGCCGGGTGGCTGCCCAGACCCAGCAGGCAGTGGATGCTCTCTCCACAGTTCCCACTACCAGGAAGGATTCTCCTGCTTCCACCTGCACATTTGGCTTTGCATTCTGTTGGGGTGGGCTGTGCAGTGGGAGCTGTGAGATGCTGGAAAGTTCATCCTGTTGGCTTTTTGGCCAAGGGTATTAGTGCTGGAAAGCAGAAAGCTCTGGCTGGAAAGCAGGGGTTGACTTTCTGCTGGTGGCTGAATCCTGGACTGGTAAACGTGTGACAGCCTTGTTTAACTTGAGTCATTTATAGCTTATCAGTTTCTGGTTTGATAGCCAGAGTATTTCTAATAATAGGCGAACATTATTGCACCTCGAGAGAATTGTACACATTTATAAGGCACTTTACATTTCATGTGCATGCGAGGCATCCTTCATGTCACTGCTTCTCCCCCATGTGTGAGTGCATGGAGAATGTGATGCCTCCTGGGTTGTGGCTGGGGTGCTGAGGCTGGATGTCTCTGCAGCTGAGCCTGAACACCCTGAAAGCATCATGGGGTGCTCCCTGAGCTCCTCCTCCTCACCGGACAGGTGAGAGACTGTGGGCAGCAAGGACCTTGGCATTTGCATTTGTCTCTTAAGCCTGACAGTAATCTTAAGTAAGCCTTGTGAAGAAGGCCAGATATTAGGGTGGCTGCCTCCCTGCAAATGCTTACAATAAAGAGACTATTTATAGTTTGCAACAGGGAGACCTTTGCAGTTCTGTTCCTGTACGTACAAGATGGAGTTTCTGGAGAGGCAGGATTGCTTTGTGGCTGGTGTGGCAGTGAAGCTGTGCTGAGCCAGGGATGATGTGCCTGTCCCTACCTTCTGCCCTCCTGCTCAGCTCCACCTGGGCACAGGGGGGCTGCTCAGGGGCACCTGGTGGGCCTGGGGTCAGGGTGTCCCTGTAGGGGTCATTCATGGGACTGCCGAGCCCTGTCCATCTGTCCATCAGTCCATCCCTTGGTGCGTGCAGGGTTTCACAAGCCGTAAATTCCAGGAAACTCCCCGGGAGGCACATGGAGGGAGTGGGCTGGGGGCGGCACAAGCCCTGAGCGAGCAGATGTGTCTGCAGGGACGAAGAGCTGGGAGGAAAAGCACAAACCTGTCTTTAAAGACACTTGTTTGTTCACAATAAAAACTATCAGCCAGCGGCAGCCAGACAGAGCCGTTTTTATGAGGAGCAGGCGTAGGTTGGAGGGGTGCTGCCAATTACTGCTTACACGGAAAGGGAGCGGGGATTGTATTTTATCTCAGGACCAGGGGGAGGGTAAAAAAAATGAGAGCAGAGAGGTTTACAAGCCTTTGAAATGTTTCAGTCAAAGGAAAGCAGAGTTGAAAGTGGTTCTGGAAACATTTTTGGTGTTCCCCTTGCACCCCAGGGCTGTCTGTGCCCCTGGCTTTGGGAGGGGAGCAAGGAGAGGAAGGCAGATAAAGGAAGGGATCACCAGCAGGACCGTGTCCATATGAGAACACGTATCTGCTTCCTCCCAAGATTTGCGTTGGGAGAGTTCAGCCTGGGGAGGTCCCGCAGCCTCTCCTCTCATTCAGGATCTCAGTGCTGCCTTTATGATGATGGTTTTGAAATCTTGTGGCTGACCTTTCCGGTGCTGGAAGCAATCCAAGGGCTGTGTCTCGAAGTACTGTAAAGGTTAGTGAGAAGGGAGAGAGGGAGAGAGAAAATGTCCTTTGAGCTGCAGAAGTGGGAGAGAGGAATGTCATCTATGCCATCGTGAGGGAGCAGGCAGCTGGCTGGGGTCCCTAGCCTGAGCTGGGGTGTCCTTGCATCACTGGGATCTCACTCCCCCAGCCCCTTCCCAACATGTGTGCTGTCATTTTTGATCAGAGTACAGAGCAATATCCCTCTGGAGAGGTCTGGAGGAGCCTCCTCCACACCATCAGGCAGTGCAGATCTTTGGAGATCCAATACCTGTGTCCAGATATGCCCCAGAAGCTGCTCCCACTGCTGCCAGTCCTCTGATTATTCCTCCTGTAGCAGATGATTTGATCTCAGAAAAGTCCAAGTTGTTTCATGGAGCCATTTCTCGCCTGTCCTCAGCTCCCCCATGCTGCTGCCTCGCCAGGAGCACGCTGGGGTGGATGGAGATTAAAGGGTAAACTCCAGGGCTCAGCCATCCGCTCCTACAGGATGTGAGCTCTTTCTAATTGTCCTCAATTAGAGACAGTGCCATTGCTCAGGCAAGTCTTCAGGCAGGAAGCAGAGCCCTGGTCCCCGCTGGGGCAGCCACCTCGCCCTGCACAGGGAAGAGCTGCTTGCCGTGGCCTTGGGAAGCCTAAGGGGCCAGCGAGGCTTCTCAGGGCAGGGAACAGGAGCTGCCCACCCAATTGTTTTTAGGAAGGAGCGTGGTGAGGAGATGTTAAAGCCAGAGAAAGGAGGAAAGGAAATAGCTCCATGAGTTAACCCTTTCCTGTTTGTCTCTAGGATGAGACGTCGGTGAGCAGCGAGGACTTTGATATGAACGACTCCACATGGATCTCAGCTGACCAGCACCTGAACTCCAGCCTGAGCCCCAGCCAGGACGAGAGCATGCGCAGCCCGCAGAACCTGCACGGCCATGAGGATGGTGAGTGCCCCAGCAGGCGGGAAGAGCCCCACGCCTCTGCCACAGGATGTTTTTGTGACTTATTAAACATTAACCAGTCCTTTCTGATCAGGTGTCCCACCTGTGGGATGGATTTCATATCAGCTCAGAGCTGGCTTCCAGTCCTTCCAATTTAGCCTCTGGGTTCCTGCTCAGCCATGGTCCTGTCCAGCTTGGAGCTGATAGTCCTTCTGCCTGGAGCTGTCTCCATCTCCTCCAGGAAGAGGTCACTAACTCCCCTTCTAAGGGGAGGACTGAGTTCCCCAAGTTCTTTTCCCAGGTGATGAGGAGAGCACTGTTAGTTCTGAACACAAGGAGGATGCCAAGGCTTTGCAGCAGAGTCACAGGTTTCTTTGTTTGGAAAGCTGCACCTTTGACAGGTCTTGCATCCTCCAGGCAAGAAACTGTGAATAATCTGCAGCAGCCACAGCAGTGTTGTGCGGGGTGAACGTGGGTGTCTCCTCCCTCGGGGCAGGCAGTTGGAAGGGCTGAAAGCAGCACCCGTGGGCTGGGTGGGAGGAAGAGTTTTGTGAAGAGAGGTGGTGTGTTGCGTCTGTGAAACATGCAAGCTTAAAATAAAAGAGCAAGTAAATAAATGGTAGAAGTAGGAGTTCAGGTCAGAGTTCGTCGTCGTGATGCTTGGGAGGGTTTGGTGTTTGGACTGTTACCGGCTTTTACTCAAGAAGTCGAATCCCTCATTGTCCCAGCCTGGCTGCTGCTGGGAGTGCAGGAAGGAACAGAGGAATTTGAGAAACAACTGAGACTGGGTCGGTACTGCTTTAAGAAAGGGGACTGGAAAACCACCCCTAAGGAAAGAAAAGGCTTTTGTGCTGGCAGGTCTCCCTGGGGTGGCTTTAGCTGGTGGTGTGGCCAGTGGCAGGGATGGTAGAGACAGAAGTGGCAACAGGGACACTGCTGTCTTCAGTCCCACAGACAGCAAGGCCACTACTCTCTTCAGTCCAGTGAGTTTGTGGCATTTCTATTTCCATTGCAAATCTGCAGTTTTGGGAAACTGCTGGTTTTCCCTAGGCACCCCCAGCCCCCAGGCCAGGCAGCCTTGGTGAGGATGTGAAACCTGAGTGCACAGCACTGCATCCCGGTGGTGGGATGGCCATGGGAACTTCTGCTTGCCCAGGGCCCCAGGGGGCTGTGTCTTGGCAGGAGGAGGAGTTTTTTGGTGGTGATGCAGTTGCTCCCATAGAAGTTTTTGGCTCTTCAGGATTAGGCTGCAGCTTCCACCCAGCAAGCCCAGCCTCTCATCCCAGTGGCCTGACTGGGTCTCTCTGTACCCCCTGAACTTTGCCACTTTCCCAATGGGACATCTCAGACTTGTGACTTAGCCCTCACCACTGAATTCCCAAGTCTCATTTACAATCTAGAATGACACAGTTTTGATCCCTTTGCTGAACACTATTATTCAACAGGACAGTAATTTAATAAGGGACTCATGTATTTAGGCAAATCAAGATGTTCTTACTGAATCTAAATCCTCTCTCTCTCTGCACCCTCTTAGGAATTTCTTCCAATTTTTCATGCCCTGTGGTTTTCCTTCAGAAGCAGGTGTCCTCTTTGGGGTTCTTCTTGGCTCCTTTAATTTCTTTTGTAAGGTTCAGTGTTGAGAAATAAAGCAGAAATAGTCCCATAGGAATGCAAGTGTCTCTGGTGTCAGCATTGGCTGAACTGGGTAGGCTTTGGTGGATCAGAAGTGATGGTGTCAAAAAAATAAGCAAGCCAAGCCCAGGGTGACAAATGAGACCCATACAAAAAACACAGGAATTGCGATTTTCACCAGGCTGTCACATTTCAGAAGCATTTTGTGGACTGAGGTTTTGTGCCTGTGGTGAATGTCCGTGATCTGTATCAGAGCTCTAAATACAGACTAATGCTGTCTCATGTCAGTCCCTCTGCCAAACCAGTGCTCCCACCAGGAATGGAGCACACACAAGAGTGGGAAGGGACGAAGGACAATGGGGTAACCCAGGAGGGCAGTGGGTGCTTAAAGGAGGGAGAAGGAGCATGGAGCAGAGGAGCATGTTGTGAGAGGAAAAGCAGATTACTGCTGTGGGGAAGGGAATGTGCACAAAGTGTCGACCACTCTTCAGTTTCCTCTTCTCTCGACCTATGAAAGCTTTTTTTTTTTTTGGAAACAAATGTGTTTTCCGGGTTCACACGAGCTTGCTAAGGCTGTGCAAAAAATGTGAATAACCAGCCCACATATGCAGTGGAACCTCCTTGGAACCCAGTTGGCCAAGCTGCTGTTGCAGTGTGCCTGCACTGGGGTAGCCCAAGTATTCCCAAGCTGGAAGTTTTTCCACATCTTCTCTGCTCAGTTGTCCCCTGTGCCTTGTAGGAGTCCTGCAAAGCTCCAGCCAGTGCAAAAATGAGCCCCACACATGCCCTGCAGCCAGGCTGGGCTCAATTCTGGGCATCCTGGCACTGCAGAGGGATCTGGTTGCACACCATGTCCTCCAGTTGGGAATTTGTTCAGGACTGGATACTCTCTGCCTTCAGGAAAACCTTTTGAGTTACTAAATTGGTCCTGCCTGCTGCTGTTTGATGGGTGTGATGCTTGGAGTGTGTCTTCAGTGAAAGGCTTGCTAAAGTATAAAGTTTTAATGAAGAGTTGCCTAGTAGGAGAGCAGTATCGTCTGACACGCTTGTTTAAAGAGTCTTGTTTAAAGGACCAAAGCACCAGCTCCAGGTCTTTTCAAGGCCTAGGAATGGCAAGTGGTCTCCTGTGGCATAGAGTAGTTTGATCCAGAGAGGTGGGAGAGCAGGGAATTGTCATCTCATGCTTTGATAAACAGGTACCTGCTAAATCATCAGAAGCCTAAAAAGCAGCTGGGAAGAAAAGCCAGCTTTCTTTGTCCTGGATGTCCAGAAGCCTTGACCCAGTACAGCCATGCTACAACTGGTGTCAGCCCTGGAACTGCAGGGAGAGCAAAATACACTGAAAGACTTGGGTGGATCATGGACAGAGCAGGGATTGTCAGGAGAGTCGGGGTTCCTGCTGGGTCAGTGGGCACACGGCAGGACTTGGGACACACCAGCCAGCCCTGAGCAGTGACACTGAACACACACACTCGCTCCTTCCATTTTCCTTTGTTACTCATCCTGCGGGCCCCAGCACGGAAAACGTGAAGCTCCCAGCAACATCCCTTCCCAGTCGGATGTTGCTCACAGTGTACGTGCCCACAGGAAGCCACCGGCTGCCCAAAGCAACAGCAACATCAACACAAACTCTGCTGCTGGAGCGGAGCTATTGTGCCGGACATCCTGGAGGGACACATCTGTGGGAGCCAGCACACACTGGGAGCAAAGAGACCCTGAGTGCTGCGCCATCCCTCTGTCTGGACCCGTCTCCTATTCCTGAAGGTGTCCCATGCCCAGCTGAGTGCAGGTCCCAGGCCCTGGTGCTGTGTTGCTGTGGCAGTTTGAGCTGGGCTCTGTCCATCTTCAGAGCCTGTCTGCTTCCACAGGTGAGCACTGCACTACAAACCTCCCTGTTTGGCCTGGTGTGTGGGGTTGAGCGGGGTATCCCACCACAGGGGTGCTGGGTATTCTACACCAGATCTGCTGTGACTTTGTGGTGAATGCAGTGCCCTTGAAAGTAACGCAGGAGTCAGACCCTGAACCTCAGTGTGTGACATGGCAAAGTGCTTGAGCTCATATAGAAGAGCCTCTGTCTTGCCCACTAACAGGATCCACCTTGCCTTGTCCCTGGCTGTACATCCTGCTCCAGTGCCCAGGAGCAGCGCTTAGCCCACAGGCAGGGCTTGCTGCTCCCCAGCCTCTTTTGAAGAGCAGGGAAAACTCCTGAGTGTATGGTGTGCTTACTCTGTGTGGGGGACATGGGGTTGCTTCATGGCACCATGTTGGACTGATCCCCTTCTGCTGAGATTCCCCACGTGCCGTCCTCGCTTGACTGGCAGTGTCCCCGCTGAGTCTGTTCTGCCCGGAGCAGCAGTGGCTAATCCAGACCTTGGAGAAAGGACTTTCTTAACCTACTTAACTGTGAAGGCACACGCTTCTTGGGGGCATCCCTTGAGGCAGCTGGCTGGGGAGGCTTCTGGATGTTGGGGACGTTCCTCAGGAGTGGTACAAAGAGAGACCTCAAGGACATGTGGGCAAGCATTATTTCCAGATTCTGTCCCAGGGGCTTGTAAGGCATGTCACTCTCCTGGACACCTTGCCTTGGGATGTCAGGGATGGCATAGAGCTGTCCCCAGTACAGCAGTCTCTCTGCTGGTATGGCACATGTCTCACAGCTCTGGGTCACTCTGCTGGCACTTGATGAGATGCCCACGGTGCTGCACATCACCAGCTCCCCTGAGCTGCCAGTCTAGCAAAGCTTTCTGGGGAGGAGCAGCCTCTTGCCAAGTGCTGACCAAAAGCCAGGCTCCATCCCCAAGTGATATCCCACTCCACAGCTGCACTTCTGACAGCTGGCACCTGACCCCATGGCAGTGGTGCCCACCTCACTGTGCCCTCCCAGGGTCACTGCTGCAGCATTGGGTGTCACACAGCTCCCAGAGCTTTCCTCAGCCAGCCTAGCCCTGCTCCAGGTGAATACAAACACCCTTTGTAAGCCACAGGGGAAGCCCAGCAGACCATGGGCAGTTGTCTGATGGCTGGCTAGTGCAGGAGGTGGTCTGTGAGCCCCAAGACACTTGCTTAGCCCCAGGCTGCAAAAGCCTCACTATTTCCAGGGCTTCTTGCACCAGTGTTGAATTTTGGCCCCCTAAAGCCTTAGCTCTAAACAAGACTAGGACCAGCAGCCAGGCCTCACTACAGCTAGACAAAAGCTTATCTCATTTTCATTAGGGATATATTTCCTCTTTCTCCAGGGTGTCCCCATGCTATGCTGGCTCCATGGCAGGAGTCAACAAACGTGTCCCTGCCTCGCCTGAGCGGTCTGAACTGGTGACTCCATTCCCGTCTCCTCTTCCAGGGGCACATCTGCTCCTCCCGAGCAAAGGCCC